TTCCAAAATACGGTATACCTTAAAAGCTGTTATCGTCCCATGCCTACGAGTGAATTCGAGCACTCAGTACACCGGAAGGAATGCCATTTTATTTGTGCTTTTGCTGCTTAATGAATCCTTCAGATGGACTAGATTTTCTTAGTCAGACCTAGTGATAGTTATTTAAGACTTTAAGTCTATTAACAATGGAACAATTTTTTTTAATGTCTGTCATGTATCCATATATATATATATATATATATATATATATATATATATATATATATATATATATATATATATATATATATATATATATATATATATATATATATATATATATATATATATATATATATATATATATATATATATATATATATATATATATATATATATATATATATATATATATATATATATATATATATATATATATATATATATATATATATATATATATATATATATATATATATATATATATATATATAGATACATATATATATAGATATATATATATATATATATATATATATATATATATATATATATATATATATATATATATATATATATACATATATATATATATATATATATATATATATATATATATATATATATATATATATATATATATATATATATATATAATTGTCTTCCTTTATATGCCATTTTCAGCCAAACATATAGTCACACTCTCAGATAAGGACGGGAAACATTCTGCCAGATGAATTTAGTTTGGATTATATTACAATAACTGATTTCTTTGTGCTGCGCCCCTATGATGATTTCTCACTTGCGTAAATGTGCTGATTGGGTGATCTTCCCCACTGAGAGGAAGATTCATCCAGAAAGCATCTATATGCCGACACGGCTCTCTTATCAAAAGTGTAAACGGCTGAAACTTGTTTGTCATAATAATAAAAATATAATAAAAAATATGATAATAATAATAATAATAATAATAATAATAATAATAATACTTTATTTATACTTTTATTATTTTATTTCAGTTTATCTGCTACATAATTTAATTAGAAATTCCATAACAATATTTTAATAAAAATGTATTATATTTATTATCTTAAATTATAAATTATATATTATTCAGGCTTTTGCAAATTATTCTATTTTAGTTTTTCAAGTATTTTCAAAGGCATACAAAAAACTACATATAAAATATATATTCTTTAAAATTCTATAAAACATATTTAATTTATGTTTATATATTTAATATATTTTACTCACTATTTATTATTATAATATGAAGCTTAAGAAAGCTTATTCTACAAAAAAGAAACATGAAAATTATTTAAATTCCAATATATAAATATTTATAGTGATTAAAATTTGATGATAATAATAATATTATCAATATATACTTAATAATAATTTTAAAAAGTAAAAAAATCGGTTTATTTCTGAATATTGACATGAATAATATTGATATTTTAGAAAATGTGAAATTATAAGTCTTATTAAAATTAAATATGTACGTGAGTAATCTTTTACTCACCATTATAGTGTGAAGATGGAGGATGCATCATCTAGAACAAGAAAAAAGTAAAGAAATATATTAACATCTCATTTTAAAACCAGAAAACTGCTATTAAACAGCATATTACAAGATAACAACAAATATCAGTAACAACAAAGCATGACAAGCATTAAATACAAGCATTATATGATTGATACTCATATACGGAGTTACAGATCTGAGAAAACCTTCACACGGAGTATTAAACTTTATTGTGCTCCAGACATGAATGATGGCTCAAATCGCTTTTTAAGCCACTGGATTTTCACCTGTCAGACGATAAATCAGCTGTGAAAATCCCACTCTTACACTGAGAGAGCTATGTGAGCCCTTTCTAGAGACCAAAATATCACAGCGACTTTACAACTGCACAGCATCACAGCCAGAACACCACACAGCAACACCTTGAAAACTACATAGTAACACACTGGCAACTGTATGGAATCACTTTGATAACACAATAGCAACACACTGGCAACCACACAGCAACATTATGGCAACCACATAAACTTTAAAGGGCACTTACTATGCAAAATCAACTTTTTGAATCTGAACAGAACTGTCTATAGCTGTATTGTGTCCACAGTCATATTGAAGTGATATAAACAAGTTTTTATTTTTTACATTTCATTGCATTAAACTACGATACGATTTTGAGGATCACCACACCGAGACATATCGGTGCAGTTTTCCCCGCCCATCAATGTTAATTGACAGGTGCGTATATTAACATGTTTCAGTGTTAACGCATATAATCATATCCACAAGACAGGATTGGTAAAGAAACTGGGATTATAAGATCTGTTAAACAACTTTCTGTGATCAAGAAGCAAGTGCTACACTTTGTATTTTTATAGCATTTTGAACTATACTTTCTGAGCTATGTAATTCATAACCGCTGCATAGTGTACACAACTATAAACAAGGACGCTTCATTCACACAACAGGAGTCCATGTTTGTGGGGAAGTTAAACCAGCTTTATATTTGTACTGTAACTTAGCTATAATTAGTGGCTTCATGAAACTCTGAAACAGTCATAACAAATGTGTTAAAGCTTCGAATTTTTTCACACCTGTTTCTGTAGTGGCACCTAGTGGACATTTTGTATGTATTACTCTGGAACATGCAGACTGAAGCATAATGGGCTATATGCACACAGACTTTTAATTCTTAATTAATTCTTCAGCCAGGCAGTCTGGCGGCTTCCAGTGTACTGTCTTTCCATTACAAAATTGTCATGATTAATATCTGATTTCTTTAAAAATCAGCGATCTTCATTGCCTGTTACATATACAATATGAAGTGGGTCTCAGATCGGACAAGAAGCACTGCATTAAATTCCATTTACCCCCACCATGTCTTAAAATATGATTGGTTGTTTTACCCCAGTAGTTTCAATAGAATTTCTGCGCTAGCCTGTTACCACCGATGTCGCTATTGGTTACAATGGTCTTTCATCTTGTTTTACGCTAAAACAAGTAAATAAATGATTAAGCCTATTTAACTGAAAGTATTGTAATTACATTACAACATCGATGCTGTAAAAACAACCTTGTGAAATTGAAAATAGTCACATTAAGCTTTAATCGGAAGTTCATCGTTGGCTTTTAAACTCTAGCTGTGCATAGAGCTCATACCCCACATTGTAGAAATGATGCATCAAGTGATTTAGTGGAGCGTTGTGAATTCCTTACTAGCAAGCCGAGATATGTCTTGTTTTGGTAATTAACATTGTTAAAACACATCAACTCACAATTTCTGAGTATTTGCACAAGTCTGGACATTTGCAGAACAATTACTCTGTGTGTAGCTGGGCTAATACGTATAAAAAATACAAGTATTCGTGAACTTAATGAAAAAAATCTTTATTTTTTACATTTACTTTTGTTTTTTATTTTGTTTTCTTAATTATAATGCATGTAGTTTTGGTATAGACATGTACACAATGCAGAACCGTGTTACCAAATGTTGTTTTACGGAGAGGACATATTAGTGATGCACACAATAGCGGTGTGTGAACAGTCAGCGCCATCTTCAGAGTTGAATCTGCCGCTGACGGGGTTAGACGCTAACGCGAGCCTGAGTGGAAAAAGAAAGAGACGCGATTTTCAAGATATTAACTGAGCTCTGTATGTGCAGAATAAATCAAAGCTGAGGCCCCCAACGTCACTGTCATCTTATTAAATAATACACAACCACAGTAAAGCTGCAACATTTGCACACGCACAGTAGGTGAACTAAATGAGATTTTTTTTCCCGACCCTGTCAATCAAACACAGATTCACCAGGTTTCGAAACGCTTCTGAAATGGCCGGTACTTTGAATCTCTTTAGTCAGGTGACCTGGGCGTTTCATGCTTTGGTAAACAATTGCGCTTCAGGCTCTAGACACCAGCCATGCCTAGCTATAATGGATCTCTATACAGCAGCATGTTTATTAATTGGATGTGCATCCTGTCATATTTGCTGTGACATAATGAGCAAAAACAGCACATGTTAAACGCACACAGTGTGTGTGCACAACATTGTAATGGCATTCGTGTGTGGGTCATTCATCATTACAGGAAGGCTTAATAATCTCTACAACAACTGTGTCAAATATCCAATAATTCAGTTTCTCATAAAATCTTCTGACCAATCAAATGCTCTCTAGTATCTGACATGCCCCGCCCCTTTCAAGACGCTTCTTATTTCCTTTTCATTTGATGCGCTTGATCTCAACTACTCTCACTGGCAAAGCTGTGATAAAAACAAAATGCTATTGGCTGTTTTTTAAAAAGGGGAGGAGCTACTACATGCCTTGCCATGTCTTGTTTCAGTTGAGAATGTCAAATTTCTAATAAAAAAAATTTCAAAGCACTTCACAGGACATTTATTACTAAGTGTGAGCCCCATGTTCAAATATGGATGAACTCAACAACTGGGTTAAAAATTGTAATTTAAATTTTATTTAAAAATTTACTAAGTTAAAATTAACTTAACGGTCTGTGGTGTGCTGGTCTAAGTGTTCTGTATGACAAGCCTCGCCTTCTCAAGAAGGACTGAAACCTACAACAAAATATATCAAAAGTAACATTTTTGATTCATAAAAATGTAGACAGCGCCCTCTAGTGGATTTGCCATCTGAAACGTGCACCAAAACGTACCCAGAGCAACATATTAAACGTTTTGCAAATATGTAGGCTGAGGCATGTATTTCCAATGGGCCCGGGCTGATATGCATAAGTATTAAGAAACTAAATCAGGTCAATTTGATTTTAAGCCAACTTTAAATAAGCATCGATAATCTCCTACAATAGCAAAGACCTTCAAAGCTGCAGCTCTCTATGGCTTTATGCTGATATGAACGCTGCCATTAAGCTCTACAGTAGCTGGCCAGAACTGCTGACCATCTGCCATGCAGAAATGAAAGAAACGTTCCCACTCTGCTGAACTCATATTACAATGGAGACCAGGTGCAAGTAAATGTCAATCAGTGAAATGACTTTAAAATCAATCTGAAATCTCTTTGTCCGCTCAAAGGTATGGCGTGAAAACCATTTTAGATGAAGAATAAGCAAGCAGATGGCATTACTATGGTGCGCTTGGGCTGGGCTGGGTTCAGTCAAAAGCACCATCAAAAGCACCGCTGAAAGCCTTCTTCAGCCAGGTACAGTTTCTGGAGGAGTTTATGAGCTCACAGAGCTGGATGCACCTCTGAAAGTATGTAGTGGACTCAGACACAGCCCTAAACGTATCAACACTGTTTTTCAGCCTTCATAAAGCACATAAACACTGTTATTTTCTTCATAAAATCCATGTTAGCCATTTAGCTATGAAGCTAGAGTGTCACCGGGCAGACAGAAGCCCTGCTCATCACGCGAATCCGTGTCTGTTCTGAAGAGAATTTGATGCGTGAATGAAGCGGATTTGACGCGCGAATGAAGCGGGGTTTGACGTGCGAATGAAGCGGGGTTTGACGTGCGAATGAAGCTAGAAACCTCAAATGTTCACGCGGCTATTTACGAGCGAATAGCGCGATTTATCCGCCCGGTGCGCGCTTGGTGGGAACGCAGCATCAAGGTGACCAACAGTACAGGGCCTTCATTGTCGCATTTTGTGCTTCAAACTGCACCACACATACTCTATTAAAGACAGGTCAGGACTGCAGACAGGCCCCTCAAGTACCTATCATTTGTAATGTGTGCAGAATGTAGTTTGCATTGTCCTATTGAAATATGGTGTTCCTGGAATAGTTAGCAGCATTTTGTGCTCCAAAATTTCTTTGTACAAGTGCAAGTTACCTTTGCCAAGGGCACTGACACAACCCCATACCATGACAGACCCTGGCATTTGGGCTACTTCTCCTTTTGGAACAGTACAGTTTTATTGCCATTTGTGGATGTAACTACATATTGTGGCACTCGACAAAGGTTTGCCAAAGTAGTCCTCTGCTCATGTGGTGATATCGCTAACAGATGAGTAAGGATTCTTGATGCAGTGCTTGAGGGATCAGAGAGCACAATAGTTCAACCTAGGCTTGTGCCCTTAACCTTTATATACTAAAATTCCTCTAGATTTCTTTAATATTTTAATGATGTAATGCACTATTTTAGGTGAAATATCCAAACATCTTCCTATTTTTATTTGAGGAAAATAGTTTTTAAACATTTCACTCATTTTCTCAAGTAGTTTTTGTCAAACTGGCGATCCTCGGCCCATCTTTGCTCCTAAAGGACTAAAGCGTTCTTGGTTGCTGATTTTTTTTTACCAAATCATAGTTACTATCACCTGTTGACATCACCTGTTTCAAATCACATCATTATTTAACCACTTCACCTGATTACTAGCCCAAAACTGCTCCTGTCCCAATTTTTTTTGGAATATGTTGAAGGCCTGAATTACAGGAAATGTAATACACACACACACACACACACACACACACACACACACACACACACACACACACACACACACACACACACACACACACACACACACACACACACACACACACACACACACACACAC